TTCCTGACAGTTAGAACAATTAATCAGTGGAACAGCTTGCCTCCAGAAGTTGTGAATGCCCCAACACTGGAAGTCTTTAAGAAGATGTTGGGTAGGAATTTGTCTGAAACGGTATAGGGTTTCCTGCCTAGGCAGGGGGTTGGACCTTCCAACTCTGCTATTGTATTTGTATTTATCTTTTTGTGGAATTGGGTTTGCCATCTTCAGAGTTTATCTGTTTGTTTTTTTACTTCTCAAGGCTAGCCTACAGGCCCAGAGCTCTCCCATTCCAATACATACCAGGGATGACCCTGCTTAGCTTCTGAGCTCAGCCAAATATTGCTACACGGGCATGAAAGTAAATCGAAAGAATCAGAATGCAAATGATGTACATTAGTTCATACAATTCCTTACACTGTAAATAGAGTAACATCTAATGCAGGGGTGCCAAACTCAAGGTCCCTGGGCTGGATCTGGCTCCATGGTGCTTAGATCTGGCACACAGGGACCCCCTGGGAACAGCGAAGGGCTGGCTCGCGGTGCCTCTGCCAGCAAAAAACGGAGCTCGGGAGGGCCGTGTGTGTCCCCCTGAGCTCTGTTTTTGCTGGCAGAGGTCTGCAAGAGGCTGTGACAGCTGTAAATGGATGTCGACCTGACCATGCCCCCCCCTCCCCACGTCCCCCGGGGGTCAAACACAACCCTGATGCAGCCCTCAATGAAATTGAGCTTGACACCCTTGATCTTATGGGACAGACTAATTTTCTTTGGTGTAATTTTATGCGATCCAGAGATATGACTCAGGGTTCCTTAAGAAGAGATGTCCCGGTTTCAAACAAAAAACGCAAACACAACAGGATGGGCGCAAAGCACTAACCTGGAGATCAACTCCTAGTTTTGTTCCAAACCGCATATTTCGAACAGCAAAAGGCGCCTGGCTCATGCTTTCCGTGCCACCACAAAGCACCACTTCAGAATCTTTAACGCTAATTTCCTGATTTGAGTTTAGAGGAAAGAAAAGCACATTAGATGGACAATAGCATTTAGCACTTGTACACCACTTTACGGTGCTTTACAGCCCTCTCTAAGCGGTGTTTACAGTGTCAGCCTCTTGCCCCCAACAATTGGCTCCTCATTTTACCCACCTTGGAAGTATGGAGGACTGAGTCAACCTTGAGCCTGGTGAGACTCGAACTGCCAAATTGCAGGCAGCAGAAGCAACCTGCAGTACTGCACTCTAACCACTGCGCCAGTGGTAGGATTCAAATTTTTTACTATCGGTTCTATGAGCGTGGCTTGGTGGGTGTGGCTTGGTAGGCATGGCAGGGAAGGGATACTGAAAAATCCCCATTTCCTCCCGATCAGCTGGGACTCAAGAATAGATGGGGCGCGGCCAGCCAGAGGTGGTATTTACCGGTTCTCTGAACCACTCAAAATTTCTGCTACCGGTTCTCCAGAACTGGTCAGAACTTTTCTGAATATCATCTTTCTCCCTGCGCCACCGTGGCTCATATGAAAGTACATATGAAACACACAACTATTTAAACCAGCGGCCTCCAATCTTTTGGAGACCAGGGACTGGTTCCGTGGAGAGTTTTTTCCCACGGACCAGAGGGCGCGTGGTTTAGTGTGTTGCCTGCATCCCAGAGATGGGGCTTCTCTTGTTTGCACGGACCAGTTTCTGGCATGTCACAGACTGGTGTTGGTCCACAGACTGTGGGTTGGGGACCCCTGATCTAAATTATCAGATCTTTTTTTTTTTTTTTTT